TCCAAACATCACTTAAAGACTCACTTCCCAAAAACCCGCACTTAAAAAAAGAAATTCAAATTCCGATTTACCGTTACTCTCTATTGGTAGGCATTTCGTGATCTCGAATAAAATATTATTTTTTTAAAAGCCAAATATGCCTTAAATTTAATTAAGAATTAATAAATCAAAAATGTATTTAAGTCACGCATTGGCTACATCATAAAAAAGTACACGAGAATAAAATTATATATTCATATTACCACAATTCTGTTCTGTTTTTTTTTTTATTTATTTCGCCAGTCCTTCTTCCTCTCTCTTTCTCGTCGATTGAACTTTTTCTCCAATAATTAATATTAAAAATATTAAACGCTTGATTTTATTATAATAAATATATATTTTTTTAAGAAAACTAAGAAAAAAGAAGAGCCGAGGTACCAACATCAAGCATACACGTTTGTACACGATGCACATGTGTAGCTTGTTTCCTTCTCTTCTATACATACAATTTTTTTTTGTTTGTTAAATATACAGAACACTCGACTACGTAAGAAAAGTGGAATGAGACAATTGGCAAGAAACTAAATTCCAGTAGCTTTAATTGTGTGCGTTCACACAATCGCCTTCATTATCATCATCATCGACACTAAATGAAATTTTAATTTTTAGGTAGGTGGATTAGAATTAATAATCTTTAATTGATTTTCTTTCCGTCTCTCGTTGAGACTCTTTTTATTTTATTTTTTTCTTTCTTTTGACTTTTCGTAACATAAGTTGAGGATTTCTTTCTTGAGATTTGATAGGCAAATTTGGGTCGAATTTGATTTTTGTCACTTAGCGGACAAACAACTGGAAGCTTTTATTGTGTCGAAGGCGGTTTTTGAGTTTTATGTATGATGTGTGTGTGAGTGTGGAGGTTGTTGGATGATTTTTTTTTGAGGATGTTTTTCGGGAAAATAGAGATAAGAATGTTTTTTTAAACTGTTGATGCATTAAGTTCTGTTTAAGACTTATTCTCGTCTAGACTCAATTAATTTGATGCTAATTCTTGGGGATTGCACATTTAAGATTGTTATGAAAATATTTTTGAGCATTTTAAATTAATTTTCTTAAAGTTGTCACTATTTTTAATGACATTCGTAGAGGATTAGGGTTGCCTGAATCTAATCATATGCCAAATGTATATTTAGTGGTGTTTTACATTAAATTAGGATTTTAAACCTCTGAAAATCGGGCTATGATGTTTATATTTGCAACAGTAAGATATTTAGACTAAAGTTCATCAAATAAATCTCAATTGAATGTTAACTAGCCAACAATTTGACTATAGATGATCATTTATCAGAATTAAATTATTCTTCACATCAAACAATATATAACAGTTCATTTTGTATCCAATATTCACAATTGAACTATATTGCCTTATCAATAATTTAACATCAATTTATTTATTAAACATGACTTGAAATATTTTATTTCTAATAAGAACCGCTATAAAATTGTTATCTCCTTACATCTCGAAACTTCAAATTCTATACTTCAAAAAAAGTCAGACTTTATTCATCCATGTAGCTGTACTATTCAAAGAATACAATGAAATTCTGTTGTACTAAAGAAGTTTTTGGAATATTCATAGGATGACTAACATATTTTTGGTTTTAAACGTAAAGATTTTGAGTTTACTAAGGTTGTAGCACAGGACTAGGTGGCATGACCTCTATTCTTTCGCAAATATTAATGCCAAAGTCTCTAAGAAATTCAGTATTAAATCTAAATCTTTTGGAATGACAGAATCTGATCTCAGTGCTGATGTGTCTCGGTACTTAAACTCGATTATGATCTTTGAGTCAAAGGAGCAGCTAGAAGAGAGGTTTAAGAGTAATAATCTTTTCCTCAGCAATAAATTTTATTAATTTACAGTATTTTAAACCAAAAACTGCTAAAAATCTGAAAAACTTTAAAATCCCTAACATGAAAAGTTACTCCCCACGCCCAAACCTTGTGACTAGCCAAAAAAACTTTAGAATATTCCTGATTAAAAAACAACACAGTCATCACTCGAATCGACGATAGATTATTTGTATGTTTTGTTTTCATCTTCCACAAATCAAATTTACATAAGAAATATGTCTCTTCTGTACTCGTGACAGGCTCATTTGAATTTTGTCACTGAAAATTATCGATTCTCTGCTCATTTTCTTTCACACACTAATTCCAACTGATTCGAAGATGATTATTGGAAAAGAAAAAGAATCGTTGTATCTAAATTAAACATTAATTTTTTGATAAATTGATAACAATTATACTCAAATTAATAGATTAATGACAAAATAAGATTAGAGAAAGAAGAGGAATACGAGAAGAATGAGAGGAGAAGCAGCAAGACATGAAAGGAATGTCGGAGAGAGAAAGATAAAATTGGAATGAAAATTTATGCGGTTAGAATTGATTCTATGAGATTTGAGGCAAAGCTTTGAGGTTAGGAGTGATTTAGCTAGTTTTGTTTATAATTTCAAGGTTAATATGGACTAGGTTTGGTGTTTTACAGAGCCCAAGACTTGAGAATGATGATTATTTGATCTCAAATAAAGTTCGATGACTTAAACTTTCAAATTTACTGATTAAACGCTGGTTTGAGTCAACCTGAGAAAAAATCTCAATGAATTCTTCGTCTCCAATTCCATTCTCATTACATCCAGCATCATAAAAGAACTCAAACAAGAATCACAACTCAAAATTCCACCTAAAGTCATCTCATCATCCTTAACAAGAATTAAATTAAAAATCACATAAAACACAGCCACAAACACACACATGCATCATAATAAGAAGTCACCAGAACAAAAATTAAAAAATATTTTTCTCAAGTCGCGAGAGATCTGTCTGTTTCATTTTTTTTTTTGGCTACCTTCATACTTTAATGTTTCATCAGAATTAATTAACGAGAAATGAAAATGAAAAAAAAAAATGATTGAGAGCTGACAATGAGCAACAACGACATTTGTCGAGCATGATTTTTAAAATTCCATTTCTCGGTTCCTTGCCATCCTATTTCTCATATCACTTTTGATATTCTTATCTTCTGCTCTTTATATTTTTCGCCAGTCTTCACATAAATCATAAAAATGCCAAAAACAGAGAAAGAACTAAAGTCTAAAATGATCGAATGTTATGCTATTTAAAAAAGAAGAATGCCTCGCGAACTAAAACAATATGAAATGAGGGAAGGAAAAAGAAAGAAAAAAATTTTAAGATTGAGAGAGGAAAACATTTTTTTGTGTTTAAATGGAAAAGAATGAGGAAATTTAGGATAGGGTTGTGGGGGCTATGGCGCATTTAAAGGGGTCTAGGTATGGTCTTTGTATGAATAAGTTGTGCTCTGAGTATGAAACGCACATTTGACATCTTGAAGCACATCAATCAATGTGAAAAAGAGCTTTTTTTAAGACCAATAGCTACTTTAAGGCATGGGTCACGGTTCCTTACAGTTCATCGAGCAAAAATTCTCTAGTCTACAGCATATGAACCACACACTTAGGCCAACAACTTTCTATTGAGTCTATAGCTATCACAATGAGGCTTTCCGTTTCAATTTCAGATCAAATGATTTCAAAACTGATTAGTCTCTTCGAGTAGGACTCAAACCCATGACTACAATGTCAAAATTGCAACATATCAATAACTCAACAACCAAATCACTAGACAAGTGCACCACAAAACAACTTCATCTCAATCTACATCAATCCACCAAAATTATGACATCAAAGTAGACAGCATAAATTAATCAGACAATCTGAGAACATCACAATCACTTGTCACGTGAGAAAATATGCTTAAAATTGAAATATGGAGAAGAGAGAATTAATTATTGTACAATGAGAATCCATGTTGAATTCTTTAATTTGTAATTTTTTTCTGTTTAAAAAAGACTTTTTAATTTGAATTGAATCAAAATGATCCATTCCAATTTTTTTTTGTTGTTAATTAATGTGAACGAATTTAATTTATTTTTTTTTTCGATGATATAAAAAAATAGGAAATTTAAGCTTTAGATGTTAAATTGTTAATTCGATTTAGCGGCATAGAAAATTAAATGACATTGCATTAAATTGCTAATAATGAAGCTCGTTTGTTGTGGTTATATGCAGGTATGTGTGTTGTATTATGTGCATTAATTATGGATGTGAATTAAATGAAGTCTTTTGTATTGTTGGATGTTAAGTTGGTTATGAGGGTGAATTTTGTATTTTTAATGGACAATACTGTTGGATTTGAGGTTCATCTACTGCTGTTTTGTAAGAATTTACTTAACCAATCATAAATCAACCCCTAAGTCCTTTAAAGCAACACTTGGAATGGCTCCAAATGCCACGTAACCCCAAATCAAATCCTCAATTTTCCCACAACCATGTCGCACTGCTGAGCGTCCCCAATAAATTAAATTAACACACGAATGATTTTATTACTTGTTCCATCCATCCTCTGAACAGTGAGAATAAAACGGGTAGCGAAAAATACATTCCATGTTCTCTTAATGTCGTTTGTTATGTGCACTTCACTTCATGGAATGCTCAGTTTTGTGTTCCCTCTATCTTTTTTCCCTACCTTTTTGGTTAACGTTCTCGTTTCGTTTTTCCTTTTGTACATATCAAATTTATTTTTTACTCTTTACTTATACTTTTTTCGAAAAAAAAGAGAGAGACCAAGAAGAAGTCTCGTTTTTTTTGTGGAGCATAATTAATTTTTCTGTTGAGTTTTGATAAAGAAAAAAAAATAAAATTTCTAAGCGACATGAATCTGAATTATGTTTGGTGGAGTTTACTAATGAAACAAGTGAAATCTCGAGTCTTTTGCTGTGTTTTTAATCTACTGCTTTAAGCGAAGTTTTATTAGTGGATGTGGTGAGTCATGCACGAGGTGGATGAAGAGTTGGATAGGCTGTGCTTGGGATTTAATGTCAATTAGTGAAATTTTCTAAGAATATTGAATGAACTCCCAGCATCAGAAGGTTCTTGACCTTACTATTGAAAAATTCCAAATCTCTCAACTCCAGACATTCCTTTAATTCTTCCAACATCATCCCATTCCCCACCTCTGGATAATAATTCACGAAATACCATGCGATAAAGAAGCTTCATGTCAAAAAAAAATCGTTGCTTTCTAAAATCTCCTTTTAAATACTGGAAAATAAATGATCACGACGACATATTGGCGATAGTAGAACAGCCATACTTCAAAATAATGCACAATAAATTAGTGGGACTCATGATAAAGTTTTTTTTTTGGCTTTAAAAATGGCAAAAAACGTGATTTTTAATTATCTCTTATATTAATTTAAAATGCAATCAAACATTAATAAACGAGACTGCATTAATCGCATGATGGAAATTTTCTTTCATGAAGAATATTTATTCTCTTTTTTTGTGCTGATGGAAAATTTTGTGTGGTATGAGTTTATTGGTTTTGCTGTTTGTCTTATTATCTGTTTTTTCGGGACCAGGAATTGAATATTTGCTTTAAACTTTTGATTTTTCGGAAGTATTTCATAAATTTTGAGCTTTATAGGAATTATTTTGACATAATTTTACTATTAATAGATGCTTGCAACTTTTTTAAATATAATCTAGATAAATTAAGGATTATAAAATGTTGTTTCTGCTGAAATTTTCAAGAAAAACTTTTTGAAGTGGAGAAAAATTTCAAAAATTTTATAAGCAAATTCAAATTTTTTGAAAATCCGTTAAATTCTTCAAACAATTATTCAAGTTTAGTTGTATAAAAATGCGCAGTATCGATTAAATTCAGACAATCCAAAACTCTCTGCGCATCATCATACTGCTTACAATCCAAAGAATAAAGTATTGAAAAAAAGACGAAAGGAGATTAAGATTTCGTCAATTTGAGTGCTTCGATTTTGTGACAAATGAGAGAACCGAAAAAAAAGTCAGTATTTTATTTTTTTCAGATGATTAATATTGAAAAGGCACCAAATAGAAATGAATAATAAATAAGTTTCCGATGGAATTAATTCCATTTTATCTAAAAATCATCTCGCAAAATACGGCAGCAACTGTTTTGAGGTTTTCTGCTTAGCGCTGAAAAAAGCAGTCACGTTCAGACACAGATAAAAATAACTTTATAATTTTGGTTTAGCAATATCATTTCTTTGACTGAATTTTTCCCGCATGATTATGTTCGCACATACGGTGAATGATGATTATTATGAGGCTTGCGGAAATGCCAGTGCAGCTAACGACGAAGAATTTATGCAACAGAAATTTTTTTGTCATAATTTTTAAGTTAATTGTTGATTTTAATCAACGCTTGTTAGCAATGAGCATCATTTTAAAGCAAATGTTTGTGTTGTGGTTATTGGGATGAGTATTTGGGATGTTTAAGTGCTGCGGAGTATTGAACCCTAACAAACCGACTTGTAATTGAATAAAGGCCACATGAAAGGGATGAATGAAATAATCTAGGAGATTGCAAGATCATTAAGTGACTTTGAGCATCAATTCAGCTTCTACTAGTAAAATTGACAAGATCCAACTAGTAAATTGATTCTAAGCTACCAAAATGAGCCACTGTATCTCCCAAACTCACACCCCTGACCATCAAAACGATTAAGACCATGAAATATAATATCAATTGTTTAAAAATTTCAACAATAAGTAATTAAATAACAATATTATAAACGCTAATCGCTTGTTATAAAGTGACTTAAATTAATTACATCCATTTTCTACACTTTTGCTATTTCTGCCGCGTTCTATTAATGAAAGAATTTTATTACAATACTCGATATTTTTTTCAATTCTCCTTCTCTCAATCTCTTTTCATGCACGAATATATTCATAATATATCAAAAGAAGAAAAAAAATTTAGCATCTCATAGCCATTTAAGAGACTTAAACACAAGACATTCAGGCACAGAAAATGAGAATTAAAAGGAAATTCTACAAAAATAAAAATTGAAGGTGAATAAAGTATCATTATGACGATATTTATTGGTCAATTTTTTAAAACAAAATAGAAGAGACTCTATTTAGATCTTCTTTCTATGCTATACAGCATCGATATTGTTGTAATTTTTTTCAGAATAATTTCGAATTAATTTTCTTTCTATTTTTATTTTTTTAATTAATATGAAATATTTCTTTTCTTTTTATTTAATTCGAATAGCTTTGTGCCAAAGTAGAGAAATGAGATGAATAAAAAAAAATTGCGCATGAATTGATGTTGCTTATTAGGATGGTGCTTGTTAGGAGCTCGTGGAGAGTAGAATGAGTCTTTTTTGTAGGAGAATCTTGTTAAGTTTTGTCGATGGGAAATGAATTCGGATGATTTGTTGATTTCTAAGTTGGTATTAAGATGTTGTGGGACATTTTTAGCTTGAGAATCAGATGTTGATGAGTTATCAGGAGCTTTAAGGAATGAAGCTTTTTTTTGAGGTTATGTTGATGTTTATGCGATTTGATTTCTGAACTTTTCTAAACTCAAGAATGGTTTGACACATTTTTAAAATGATAAAAAAGATCTTAGAGCTCTATTTCTATAGTAGCTTCGTTAATAGACTCCAAGGTATAGGAAGCATTACAAACAAAAGGTAAAGTTGTCTTCAAAGTCAAGAATAGAACACAAAACTCCTTCAATATGCTCAAAAATCATACAATACAGTCCACAAAGCCATCACAAACCCACTCCCTATTAACAATCCTATATCTAGAGCATCAACCATAACCTCAAAATTCCAATTCCACACAAACAATCAAAAACCACAATCAATACCTCAACATCATCGATCTCCTTCCTCTTTTCCTTCTAAAATTCCTAAATTTATCACTTCCATACATCCAAAATATGCTCTCAATAATTAATTCTGTCCTCTAGCCAATGCACTTCAAAAAAAAAATTGCAACAGCAAAAAAGACAAAGTTTTAAAAGCGAAAACTTGTGGTACAAGTTATTGCATAAATTTTATTATTCTATGTTATTTTTGCACCATCAACATCGTAAAAAAGGCGTATGAGACGACAAGACAATGACGAGAAGAAAATAAAAAAAAAATTTAAGCGTATATTTTCTCAACAAACGGTGCGTTATGTGTCACTTTGTCAGCTTGTTATGTCTCTGTATGTATTATAGCTATAAACCCGAGATAAGAATCAAGATTGATGTTGAGACTATTGTGTGGGCGTGAATGGAAAATTATAGTATCAATCAGTTCGTTTTTGATTTTAATTATTACTTTTACAACTTTTATATTAATTATATAGAGATTGTTTTTTTGCTCTTTGCGCCAGATCCCTATGGTTTCTCTTGCAGACTCGCATTCGTCATAAAGTTTCTTTTTTTTTTCGAGGGGAAAATTGATGGAATGGAACTGAATTACGTAAGGTGAAGTTATGATTGATTTTATGAGATTTTAAGTTTGGGATTAAGTGTTACTAGATTGTAAATGAGTGGGATCAATATTAAGTACCCGTATAGTAGAGTACCCCCCCCCTGATCAATGGAGACTATTGAGGATATACTGCTAGATTTCTTAGCAATTGTGCTGCCTAGTTGTTAATCATTTTAGGATTAGGACACAAAATTGATGTCAAAACAATTCAGTTTACTTTAAAAATATCAGTTAAATTGAAATTTGAACAATTCAAATAATTTTCGACCGTTACAAAACTTTTAAATAATTTTCGAATAACACAAAATTTTCAAATAATTTTTGACAGTTATTCAAATTGAAACTTTTCTAATTCATTTTAAATATTTAAAAATAAATCATCCATCAAGCTAATAGCCTTTCACTGGCATTTAGAAGAGAGAAAAAAAAATCAGTAATTGATAAATAAGTAAATAAACACAAGCTGCATCACGTTTCAACAGAAATTCCTCAAATGAGAATAAAAAAGCATCACAATCTGACATCAATCTACAAAAGCAAAAAATTTCCTTAAATGCGCTAAAATCATAATACTCTTATCTCATTCATGTTAAAGTTACTAGTTTTTCATTTCATTTCTGAAGTTTTTAAAACGAGATGTTTGGAATGCATTGATGGTTTTTTGCCGTTTATAGGAAAAAGAGAGAAAGAAAAAGAAAAAAAAATAAGGTTTGTTGATATGCGACTCATTAAGACAATCAATTAGTGGAGGCATATTTTGTTCAGTTTGTGTTTCTCGAATTATCATCAAATGAGACATTCTTTTTTTTTGCTGCCCTGTTAAAGTAAAAATTGAATTTTTGCCTTCACGATTTTTATCTATGGTGGCCTAATGTATTTCATCTGTCATATTCTGACTCCATTTTACTGATATTTTCATTTAATTAGATGTCTTTTTTATGCCATTATTATTTTAGAATACAAGCTTATTAATGATGTTAGTCATATGGGTTAATATATTTTCTATCTATCAGATGATATGAGGCATTCTGATCAGCGACATTAAAATGAAGAAAAATATGGAATTCTATATATTTTGCTCTATATATAGGTAGTTCTACTTATTGAATATCGAGATGAATCAGGAATATATTTTGAAACATAAATATACTTTTAAATTGATGACTTTAAGTTGTTGATAGTAAGTAAGTACTTTTGAGTCAAGAGTTTATGCAAAAAAAATTCTTTACGCTCTTCTTAAATTTGAATCTTCAACGGTCTTGTAAAATTTGTATTTTTATCGGTTTTATATAATTTAAATTTTTAACGGTTTTGTAAAGTTTGAATTAATATCAGATTTGTAATACCTATTTGAACTTCTAACGGTTTTGTAAAATTTGAGTCTTGTGAATTTTCAACGGTTTTGTAAGATTTGAACTTTTCACAATTTTCAAGGTTTCAAATCCAAACTTTTGCATAAAATGTTATTTAAAACTATTCCATTAATGTACTGCAACCAAATCCAGGACAAACTGTCAAGACACCCCAAATCTGCACACCATAAACATCAGTTAATAATATTCTTTAATTGTCTTTATTGTTACTTATCTAATTACGCCACTGTCAAAAAAATTTCTTATACTTTTTTTTAAGTTTAAAAACACAGCAAAAGGAATACAAAAAAAAAACACAGAGAAGAGAAATGAAGGAACGAGAAGACAGAAGAAACCGTAATCGCTTTAATAATGCCTAAAAGATTTGCGTTTTTTCACCATGCTTTAGTTCTTCTCATTCTTA